TGTCTGAATGATCATGTGACACTGAAGACTGGAGCAATGATGCTGAAAATTCAGTTTGCATCACAGGAATAAATTACATTTTTAAATATATCAAGACAGAAAATTTCACAATATAATTAATTTCCATAAATTGAATATAAATATAGCCATTTGTAGCTGGATCTAGCTGTTTTTCTAGCTCAGCAAGGATTTTAAATAAATTATACAAAAAATGCAGAAGTATTTTAGAGCAGAAAATGACTTCAATATTTCATTAATTGAACTTACTTTTTGCAAATAACAAATTTCTTTTTTTTTTTTAAGGATCATGTGACACTGAAGACTGGTGTAATGATGCTGAAAATTCAGCTTTGCATCACAATGTACTTTGAATTAATTCAATTAACTTGGCAAATTAATTTCCATAAATTGTATTTTTATTTTTAGTTTGTAGCTGGATCTAGCTGTATTTCTAGCTCTATACACACACACACACACACACACACAAATGATGCTGAAAATTCAGCTTTGCATCACAGGAATAAATTACATTTTAAAATATATTAAGATAGAAAACAGTTATTTTAATTTATAATAATATTTCACAATATTACTGTTTTTTATGTAAACAATATGAATGCATCCTTGATGAGCAAAAGAGACTTTGTTAAAAACATTTTTAAAAACTTACTGAATTATATATATATATCAACTGGCGTGTATTTTACTCGATATTTGGTTATGCTTGCTAGAGTTTTGCATTATTGTTGCTCCAAATCTATCACTTTTAAGGTCACATGATGCTTTGGATGCTCCCTTAGAAAGCAGCTGTCTCTGTAAACAGCAAACAGCAAGGAGGCGCACTAGTTTTTGCAACAAAGCCAGACATATTGCAAATCAGTGTTTGAGTTTTGATCAGAACGAGCATTAACAAGCACAACAGGAGATGACAAGTCTCTAAAGACAATGTTGGCTTTAGAGAAGGGTGAGCTGAGGAACACAGCACGGCCTCGGGCTGTTTTGGAGTTGAGTCTAAAGATCAGAGGCTTGTGAAGAAGAGAGAAAGCGAGAGCTCCAGCGTTCTACCTCTCTGAGCTCCCATCTCTGCTGAGGTCCTGTGATGGTGTTGTGACCTTTATACTGGCACTCCTCTAATTTGACGACTCCATCCGTCCCGTGCAAACAGAGCTCCTTCTGAATGTTGTGCCTGATCTCGTGATGGGTCGAGTACTCGAAATACTGTACGAGCAGAGGAGAGAAATGACATTTCATTAAACAGATAAAAATGTTTGAAACTCCTCTGAGAGCTTCTGAAAAACATATCAAGGGAACTAATTAAAATGATATTTGAGATGCACCCATAGAAAATCATTCAAATATCATTTATGCTTGTGTTCAAAAAACAGCACGCTTTGAAAACGATTTGCAAACAACTGAAAATAAAATTAAATAAAATCAACTTCACCTGAATTAAAATATTATATAATATTAAAATTGTAATAAATATATTATATAACACAGTGCTTGAATTGTATAGACAGTTTTTTATTAAATTTTTACTGTTCCTGTAAGGGAAAATAAATACATACATACATGCATACAAAGCAATTGTATGGACTATTTTGTACAGTTTTTGTTTACCGTTCCTTTTTGAAAAAAAAATAAATAAATAAATAAAAGCAATTTCTCCTGATTTAAATTATTACATAATATTAAATAAACTGATATTTAATATATTATATAATATAGTGCTTGAATTATATGGACAGTTTTTTTTATTTTTTACTGATACTGTAACAAATAAATAAATAAAACATCAAAAGCAATTGTATGGACTATTTTTTGTTCCTTTAAATGAAAATAAAATAAAATACAAGATAAAATAAATACCTCAAAAGCACCTTCATCTGATTAAAATTGTTATTATCAATTAATAGAGTGCATAAATTGTATGGACTATTTTTTTTTACTGTTCCTTTAAGGAAAATAAAATGAAATAAAAAATAAAATAAGATAAAAGAAGTACTTCAAAAGCACCTTCATCTGATTTAAATTATAAATAATATAATTAATTAATTGAATTTAATTTAATATATTGCTCAAATTGTATGGACTATTTGTATAGTTTTATAGCTTATATATTATGTTCCTTTAAGTAAAAGAAAATAATAAATCACTTTCACTTGATTTAAATTATTATTATTTATATGTACCAAAACGAGAGTGGTTTATATGTCATTTTATCAATTCCATTGATTCATTCACACAGGACAATCTGTTCCTGCTCCAATTACCTGGTTTCCTCCCATCCCGTGGCAGGGGTACATAATGAGAGGTTTCCCTCCCTCATTACTCTCTCCCGCGTCCAAGCAGGCCTCCTTCCCCACGTTCTTTATCTGGAGGGAGACAGAAGGAGGGCTGAAGGAGGAAATGGAAGGGATTGCGGTGTCGTAACATGAAAGCTGTTAAAACAAGGTTTTACAGAACGGCTTTCTCCGGGAAACCACAGCGGCCAGACAAAACACCTGAGAAATTCAGGGACGTCCCAGCCACTGTACACACACTCACCGCGCCAAACTGCAGCGGGCTGAGATCAGGCATGAAGACCTCTGGATAGACGTTCTTCAAATACCAGGAAAAGCTCTTACACTGGAGTTTGTCCCGGAGATCTACACGCTTGGAGACGTCTCCAAAAGAGCGCTGTGGAGAGAGACGGTAGCTTCATTACAGAAACTGCCTTTGAATCTCATATTAAAGCTGCCCACAGGCTGTCTAAGGCTCCACTTTAAAGCTGTCTGTCTACGCTTATGAACCAGCAGCAGGTCTTGGCTACACATTGAGAATGTTAAGGGATTTCTGTGGTTTAGGTCGCAGAAGACCAGCACGATGAAAGCCTGGCAAAAGGCCTTAAGACTCTTAACTCCACAATGCCATTACAACAAGTGCAGGCAAAACCAATTTGTGTAACACAACTGTAGGGTGGCAGTTTTAATTATTTATGTAAATAAAATGTAAAAAATATAATAAAACATAAAATAAATCATTTAGTTAATTAAAGTTATATCAGTATAAGGCTTTATTTAGTTAATTTTTGTATTTAATTTTATTTAAAAAACTATTTGTGTAACAACATAAGGCATTTTTAATGACTTATGTCAATAAAATAAAACAAAGATATAATAAAACATACATTAAATAAATTTAATTATCTCAGTGTACAGCTTTATTTAAATATTTAATTAATTGTCTAATTTATTTAAATAATTTTATTTGTGTAAAAACAATCGTAGGTAAACACCAATTTGTGTAACACAACTGTTGTGTGGCAGTTTTTAATTATGCAAATAAAATACAAAAGTATTAATAAAATACACAAATATAATAAAATACGTAGTAAATTATCTCAATATAAGACTTTATTTAAATAATTTATTTAAAAACAGTAATGATAAATATTAAATCATTTAAAATTCATTTAAATGTAATAATTTATTTTAGAAACAAATAAAACGTAATTTTATGTATTTATTTATTTAAAATCATTTTTAAATATATACTTTGTTTTATTATTATTATTATTGTTATTTTGTTCATTACCCTTTTACATTTGAACGTAAAATGTATATTTTAAATGTATATTTTACCCATATACATTTGATGAATATATATTAATAATATAATATACATATATAATTTTTAACAAATACAATTTTTATTCAACATTTTTTTTATATTATTTTATCAGCGTTTTTTTAAATGAAAAGTTTTTTATTTATTTATTTTTTGCCTTCATTTGAAAGGACAGTAGAGCAGTAACAGGAGTGAGACAGCTCTTCATATGCTGGGAGCAGCACACTACCCTTTGCTCCATACTATAGCTCCAATTAAATCCATCATAGTATCTTAATAGAACTGCAATTTTGCTTTTGTTACAAAAATGATTTCTGGGAGCTGTACCTCTTTGGCGATCTGAGCAGCCTGCTGGTTCCTCCGGTAGAAGATCTCTTTATAGTCGTCCATCCAGACCTCAGCCAGACGCACCTGGTTGCGAGCGATCACCTGCGTGCCTTTAGGGAAGGTGTGCGGACTCTTTGTGCGAAACACGTGGCCCACGACTGAACAGGGGATGATTTCTAGCTGCCCGCCACACTGCCAAACCTGAAGGACGAGAGCAGCAGGTCAGGATGTGAACTAATATGAGAAGAAACAGAAGCTTTATTCATTCAAACACAGACAGACTTTAGGAAACTTCATGGCCAAAATATTAAAATAAAAACGGTGTCATTAAAGTCATTTTTTGATCCTTCCTTTTGATATAGTCACTGATTTAAACTTTTAAAGCTGAGATGGTATAGAGCTGGAAAGTTTTATTCATTTCCATGAATCAGTTTAATTAAATGAACTGATTCAAAATTCTGACTCAACAATTCATTTGCATCACCAATCAAAAAAGTTCACAAAAGTCCTAATGTAATATAAAATTTAATAATTTCTCAAATAACTTGAGAATTTATCTACCAAGCAAGCACATGAACAAACAGAACTTGAACACCAATGCAATCAATATAGTTTTCTTGCTGTGAATCTCTAAAAGTGTTTCATTCATGACATCAAGTGCAGAAAAGTCTTACTTCATTCAAATGTGACTTAATCGATATACACTAAGCTTGGGGTCAGTGAGATTTTTTTTTTTATGTTTTTGAAAGAAGTCTCTTATGCTCACCAAGGCTGCATTTATTTGATCAAAAGATAAGAAAAAAAAAGTAAAATTATTAAATATTATAATATAAATGAACTGTTTTCTATTTGAATATATTTTAAAATGTAATTTATTCTTGTGATGCAAAACGGAATTTTTTGCATCATTACGCCAGTCTTCAGTGTCACATGATCCTTCAGAAATCACTCTAATATGACAGAAAAAAGCTGTGCTGTTTATATATATATATATATATATATATATATATTGGAAACAGTGATACATATTTTCTTTACTGTGGGTTTACATATCAGGATTCTTTGATGAATTGAAAGTTCAAAAGAGCAATATTTATTTGAAATAAAAACAAAATTTTAAACATTTAAAAATGTCATTACTGTCACTACTGATTAACTTAATACATCCTTGCTGAATAAAAGTAAAAATTTCTTTAAAAAAAAAAAAACCTTACCAACCCCAGACGTTTGAACCGTATTGTACATGTGCTAAGATCGAATAAAAGATGTGTGCAAAACGAATTTTTGACTCACCCTGAAGGACATTTCAATATTTTCTCCTCCCCAAATCTCCATCTCCTCGTCATAGCTTCCTACATGGTAGAAATAATCTCTGGAAATGGAGAACAATCCTCCTGCGAACGTTGGTGTCCTGCGAGGGCAAATGTGATTAGAATGTTTCTTTGAATGTTTTTTCATTAGACAGAAAATGACTGAAATGTGTGTTTTGTGTGTGCACTGTGCATGGATAATGAAATCGTTTAATGGAAAACAATCAATGAAATCCAATGAGCGCCTGAGTATTATCAAATCTATTTAGTCAAATAATTTAAAGAATAGTCATGCTGTTCCAAACCTGTATGACATTTTCTCTTCCACTTAAAGGGATAGTTCACCCAAAAATTAAAATTTGATGTTTTCCCTTCAACACAAAAAGAGAATGATTTCTGAAGGATCACCTGACACTGAAGACTGGCGTAATGATGCTGAAAATTCAACTTTGCATCACAGGAATAAATTACATTTTAAACTATATTCCAATAGAAAATTGTTATTTCAAATAGTAATAATATTACTGATTTTACCAATTTTTTTAACAATTAAATGCAGCCTTGGTGAGCCTTTCAATAAAGCAATAAGCCCCAAGAAGCCGTGGTTTACAGTGAATTTATAACAGCTAAGGGGCGTTGTTAGGCACGACGCAAAGCTGTTATAAATTCACTGTAAACCACGGCTTCACGGGGCTTATTGCTTTTATAAAACAGTTATTCCATATACGTAGTAAGGTTTCACAAAATAAAACAGAGCAAATAAACTGTAATGATATAAATAAAAACAGTATTCTTCCACCAAACTGTAGTTCCTCAGAAACAGTTGTGGTTCCAATAAAGTGGTTGCAGAGCACCACACAGAAGTAAACAAAGGTGTATGTTTGTAGAGTAATTTACAACAGCTTCGAACGCGGCTCAACCAATCAGAATCAAGGACCGGAACTATCATTTTCATTTATAAAGGGTAGTTCAAAAGGTCTGGAAAGTCATTGTAGGAGTAAACAATGTTTATTTTTGGGTGAACTGTTCTTTATTGTAAACCAGAGTGTTTTCTTACTTAATAGGGTACGTCTCATCTTTGCGTCTCCGTTTCTCATGATCCGGAAGGGTCTCCCAACCAAAAGAAAGGCCCCAGTCGAAATTCCCCCGGTTATGATGCTGTCCATACGGTGAGGGTTTCATGAACTCAAACGTGTTCAGGTCAATGGTGGTGATGTCGGGACTCACTACGGCGGTGGAGTTCTCTGCTATCCTGGCCAGCAGCGGCTCAAGCCATCCGTGGAAACATTCACCTAAACAAACCAAGCAGGAATTGCATGATAAAAATCACTTTGAAGTCTTCCAGTACATTCCTGGCCTTAGGCTACACCATCACCTCTTAACATACTTACTTACAAACACCCTAATGAATAAACACAGCCCAGATGAATAAATAAGACTGTCTTCTAAATCGATTTTGAGTCATTTCTGCATTCTGGCTGACCGTCTCCCAGTCAACCACACCAGCGGAGGACACAAACACTTTCTTAAAAACATCATGAATGTTTAACAAGCCTAAACTCAGACGGAATTAAAAAGCATCAGATTCTTTCCAGCGCAGAGTAGCTCTAACTGACCACAGGCTTGTTATAAAGAGTGTGTTTTTATTAAGAGACAATCCCTATCCCTGAATCCAGCACATTTGAGGGGGAGTGATTGGCTCTTTAAAATGACTCACAGTGGGCATCCAGGAAGGTGAGAGTTTCGCCCGAGGCCATGGAGGCCCCGAGGAGCCGCGCAGTGATCAGGCCTTTTCGTTCTCGCTGACGGACCACGCGAACGATGTGCAGCTGTTTCAGATACTCATCCAGTTCGTCCTTTAGTCGCTCTGTGAGAAAGAGAAATGTCAAAACAATGTGTGTGTGTGTGCATTTTGCAGTCAATTATTGTTAGACTTTCTTTTTGCAAAATTCTAAGGAATGTATTCTTTCTTGGAGAAGGGAATCTCAGAATGCATTAAAATATCCATCCAGATGGTGGACGAAATGAGACAAATGGCTATTATAAATATTTCATATTTTGGGGTTCGTTTTTTTTTTTGCAAGAAATGAATACTTTTATTCAGCAAGGATGTATTAAATTGATAAAAAGTGAAGTGAAAGATTTATAATATTACAAAAGATTTCTATTTTGAATAAATTCTAGCATATTTTTTTATTTTCTATTCATCAAACAAAAAATGTATCACAGTTTCCACAAAAATATGAAGTCTTTTCAGTATTGATAATAATCAGAAATGTTTCCTGAGCAGCAAATTAGAATATTAGAATAATTTCTGAAGGATCATGTGACACTGAAGACTGGAGTAATGCATCACAGAAATAAATGCATTTTTAAATATATTCACATAGGAAACATATTATTTTATATTATAATAATATTTCATAATTAAAATGTTTTTACTGTATTTTTGATTAAATAAATGCAGCCTTGGTGCGCATTAGAGTCTTCTTTCAAAAACATCAAAAAATCTTACCAATCACATATTTGTGAACAGTAGTATATATTTAAAGGGATAGTTCACCCAAAAATGTCATTCCAAACCTGTAAGACCTCCGTTCATCTTCAGAACACAAATTAAGATGTTTTTGATGAAATCCAAGAGCTCTCTGACCCTCCCATAGACAGCAAGGATCCTAACACGATCAAGGTCCAGAAACGTAGTAAGTTGTTTACGTTGTCTGCGCTTTGATCTGAACGTAAACAATGTATCTGCATACATACGTTGCATACGTTGTTTACGTATGTGATACTCTCCAAAATAGTGCTATAGAGTGACGCGGAGGAGACGAATTGTTGAATAAAGTCGTTATTTTTGTATCCTTTCATTTTTGGGTGAACTATCCCTTTTAATATTTGTGTGTTACGCTTATTCAAATATATCTATGCTTATTAAGCATCAAGCATATGTGGAGGCACTTCAGTTTGGATGTTCCCTTAAAAGGCAGCTGCCTATGTTGCATACAGCGAGGCTGCTCAATAGGTTTTGGAACACATTTCAGATTTATTTTACAGTTGGTGCTCTTCCAACTTCTTCCAAAAGTGTTACTTTTAAAAAGGTGTATGATTAAATGTAATGTTTTTCTTTCAAACTGATTCAGTATTCTGTCAGGGTACATTTTAGATTCAGTATGCGGGGATAAAAGACATAATAATACTCTTTTAGCAAAGGAGCAGGACAAAGCTCAAGCAGCACCTTTAATCTAGTAGATATGGGTCTGTACGTATTCATTAAGCATAAATATCTAATTTCATGAGTCTGCAGTCTCCCAGCAGCCCTCAGGGCAAAGCCACTGACTAGCACTTTGGTATAATATTATATATTATACAGAACTGAGGAGTAACTAGCTAAAAATAGAGATGCATACTGTAAATCTAAATCAAAGTGTCACTTATGCACAACTGAAATCAGTTTCGGTTCAACTGGTTGGGCAGAGCAATGGAATAGTCAAAACTTGTTTAAAAAAACACATTCATTTGAATCTCTGTTGAGAAGTCTTCATGTTAGCATTTTTTTAAATCAATAACTTGAATAGTAGTGAATTAGCAGTGAATCGAAGTACTAAAAAGGACAGTTCAGCCAAAAATTAAAATGATCATTTACTCAAGTTGTTCCAAACCTGTATGAGTTTCTTTTTTCTGAACACAAAAGAAGATATTTTGAAGAACGTTGGAAAGCAAACAATTAACGTAGCCATTGACTTCCATAGTGTTTTTTTCCAACCTATGGAAGTCAATGGGGACCATCAGCTGTTTGGTTACCAACATTCTTCAAAATATCTTCTGTTGTGTTCAACAGCTGAAAGAAACTCTTACGGGTTTAGAACAACTTGAGGGATTAAATAATGACAAAATTTGCATTTTCGGGTGAACTATCCCTTTAAGCTTCATTACAAGTTGAACTATTCAAGCTACACTACAAAATATCTGCTGGGAAAAAGGAAAAAAAAAAAAAACTTAAACCAGTCTGGTTTGCTTGGCTTTAAGCTGGTCTCTCAGGCTCACTAACTGACAAGTCCCTGAAAATCCTCATAAACCATCACAACAGGCCAGCCAAACCTCTTTAGTCTGGTTTACGCACTTTTTTTAATCAGCAGGGAGGGTTTCTTGACCATTTAACTACTTTAAATTATGAGTCACTTGGGAAGCTGCAGTTTAATAGTGGCTTTCCCAACCCAGACATGTGATTTATGATATCACATAATATGTATTATCCTCCTCAGAATCATTTAAGAGTAAAGGTGCAACACTAAGCCTGCTGAAATGATTCACAGCAGCACAGCGGGACGTCCTATAGGTTTTGGCTGCCTCCGAGGGTGGGGACCTACACACACAAGACTGGTCTTTCTCAGCGGAAGCTGGGATTGCTTGAGAAAGAGAGACGGAGGGTATAATTAAAAGAAGAGGGAGCGTAAAAGAATAGTTGAAAGCCAATTCCCTGGCTTTTTATTTCTCGCATGGCGTGCAGCCAAGAAAGTTCAGTCCCTGCGTGATTCAACCAGGGGAACGGATAGATGAGATCTAGTGCAGTGGTTCTCAACCCATAATGGATAGTAGCAGGTCTGTTCTGATCTGTTCAGTAGGGTGAAAACAATGCTAAATGCAAATAATCAAATGCAACTAATCATGTGCAGAACCATTAAAAAAAAAGTTTTTTTTTTAAGAAATTAATATTTTCTTTTCTAAAGTTCTTTTGAACTTTCATATTCCTTATACAATCCTGAAGAAGAGAAAAACACGTTTTCCACAAAAATTGATAACAATATGTTTCTTGAGCAGCAAATCAGCATATTAGAATGATTTCTGAAGGATCATGTGACACTGAAGACTGGAGTAATGATGCTGAAATTTTAGCTTTGCATCACAAGAATAAATTACATTTTAAAATATATTCACATAGAAAACAGTTCGTTTAAATTGTAATAATATTTTATAATATTACTGTTTTTTAATGATCAAATAAATGCACCCTTGGTGAGCATAAGATACTTCTTTCAAAAACATTAAATAAAACCCAAACTATTGGACAATAGTGTAATTGTGCATATTTAGCAAAGAAAATAATCAACATAGACTCATTAACATTTAAAACAATGCTTCATATGTCTTTTGTTGTTGTTGTCAATTTTACGCACAATCAAACTCTGTGGTGGTATTTTGATGCCAACTCATTTGCCATTCAGTCAAAGTTAGTTAAATGTCATTGGCAGGTCGTGCAACACACCCTCATCCTCAAAAACCATGAATAAAACTACACAAGGTGAAAGAAACCAGACATGGCCACATGCAATTGTGTTACGGACATAATATGGTTTAGTTGCTGAGAAACATTTAGTTGATTTAGAAAAATCATACGCGTATTGATATTGCTGGAATTTAAATGGTAACGCTTTACAATAAGGTCATATCCATTAATGCATTAACTAACATCGACTTACGATGAGCAATACATTTGTTACAGTAGTTATTCATCTTTGTTAATGACCAAATGATAACAAATGGGAACTTATTGTAAAGTCGTACCATTAAAATTCACGCACCACCAAATTTCAGCATACGATTGTAAAGATATTACAGTTTTAACAAGCAAGCGATTTTTTGTGTTTTGTTGAGTCGCCACTTGAGGTCTAATGCCAAATATGGCTTCTGAAGCAAAACCAGTTGGGAACCACTGCTCTAATGCTCATTTTCTTCTTTGCATTTCTTGTCAAAGATCTGTTTTTAAGAGTCCGCTGATAGGCCTCTATACCCCAGACCCCCTTCACCGGCTGAGCAAAACTCCTCTGAGAACATTCCCAAACAGCTCTGTTTCCTGTAGTAACCTGCTTCACGAGCGCTGGGTGTTAGCAGGCCTACAGGAATTCGGTAAAGCGGGTTGCTTGAGTGAAACCGGACGCCCATTAAAACACACGGACGGTCTGGTGGGGCTGCGTGCGCACTAGAGGTGAGTTACCGTCATAGCTGGCGTCATCCACGAGGATGATTTCTTTGAGGAGCAGAGCAGGGGAGGTGTGCAGGACGCTGTAGACGGTCCGCAGTAACGTGCTCCACGCCTCGTTGTGGAAGACGATGATCACGCTTGTGGTCGGCAGGGGTGGACAGCGTCTGAATGTCTGTTCGATGCATCTGTGAGAGGAAAAGAGAGACAGACAGAGAAATGAAGGGAAGGGGGGGATGTTTTATTCAACAGATGTCTGTGAAATGTCTGGATTAGGGCTGGGCAATATATTGTCCCCAGTTGGCCAATGTATTTCCTAAAGACTAAGATGAAACCTTTAAAAATAAATAAATAAATATATATATATATATATATATTTTTAATTTGAAATAAAATAAACATTGATTCAACAGATGTCTGTGAAATGTCTGGATTAGGGCTGGGCAATATATTGTCCCCAGTTGGCCAATGTATTTCCTAAAGACTAAGATGAAACCTTTAAAAATAAATAAATAAATATATATATATATATATATATTTAATTTGAAATAAAATAAACATTGATTGAAATATCAATACAAATATAAAATTTTAAAAAACAGAATAAAAAAATAATGGTAACATTTTAGAAAGGTTTTGTTTGTTAACATAGGTTAATTTAGTTAACATTAACAATTAAAATTCTTCTAAAACAGTTATTAATCTTAGTTTATGTTAATTTCAGCATTTATTAATACATTATTGAAGTCAAAAGATGTGTCTGTTAATTTTATTTGTACTAAAATAACTAAAACTGAAACAAAAATGTATAAAAACTATATAGACAAAAAAACAGTAACTAACGAAAAAGACAAAGACATACTGCAAAATTACTAAAACTTTAACCAATTAAAATGAAAATGGAAAATATAAAAATAAAACTAATGCAAAATAAAAAATATAACAGTATCACAATGATTATAAATGAACACATTTTGCATTTAAACTTATGTAAAAAAAAAAAGAAAAAAGAATTCTATCTATATTTCTACAGCGTTAATAAACGGCATGATTAGGAATCAGTTCAACATTGATTCAACATTTCACCTTAAAATACTTATGTTTAGTACTATGCATTTTTATATTGGTGCACATAAGTAATATTACACAATTATTTTAACTAGATTTCTATTGTATGTTACTTCTTGCAATTAAAAATTGAATTAATTTAGCCATAGTGGCTGTTTGGTTGAATTGATGATGAATTACAATCACCCTTCTAGTGAAGTGAAGTGAAGTGACATGTGGCCAAGTATGATGACCCATGCTCGGAATTAGTGCTCTGCATTTATCCCATCCAAAGTGCACATATCTTGTAATGTTTATAGAGGTCTGACGGCCTCAGGGTCAGTTGACAGACGCACAGTGCTTAAGGGAAGACAACACTGAGCTCCAGAACCACTGTGGCGCATTATGACGTCATAGATTACTTCAGAATAATTACTGCTGACCATAAAATATCTGAGGTTTGAGTGTTCACAGAGACACACACATTTAGAGAAGGGGAAAATATGTGAAAGTGGAAGTGAAGTGACATGTGGCCAAGTATGATGACCCATACTTGGAATTAGTGCTCTGCATTTAACCCATCCAAAGTGTACACACACAGCAGTGAACACACACACACCGTGAACACACACCCGGAGCAGTGGGCAGCCATTTTTCTTTTTTTTTTTGCTGCGGCGCCCGGGGAGCAGTTGGGGGTTCGGTGCCTTGCTCAAGGGCACCTCAGTCGTGGTATTGAAGGTGGGAGAGAGCGCTGTACATTCACTCCCCCCACCTACAATCCCTGCCGGTACGAGACTCGAACCCGCAACCTTTGGGTTACGAGTCCGGCTCTCTAACCATTAGGCCACAACTTCCCCCACAACTTCTAAGCCTTTTTAGAGTAAATGCAGACTCCTAATTGTGTGTTGTGTGACACTTTGTATAACAATGAGCAATAGGAACTCTGGTTTTGTGTATATCACCCCACTAAAGCAGTAAGGGCAAGAACAAACGTGTTTAATTAGAGAAAAAAGCTCATTTTTGTCTCAGTCTGCAATTAGTAGCAATATCTGCGTAGACATGTTTAAATAACGTGTCTGAGGACAAGATTATCCTGACAGATAAACAGATTCTCCCCTAGATTCTATGCACACTAACATTCTTGGTAAATTTTTCAAAATCCTTTCAAACATACTTTAGATTTTGCACTTTATATGCCACATAACAAATACTAAAAACATGAGGTGGTTAGATATTAAAAATGAGAAAAAGGCCAAATAGTCTCAGACTTTTGGACCTCATTGTATTTGTGTGTTTTTCTCTGCTGGCAATGGAATTATACTACCACTTCGATCTACAAGGTGGTCTCCTCATGTTATTTTTGGTTGGTTTTGGATTGAGTTTTGATAACCAGAGCTGCAGAACCCACTTCAGAAGGTGATTCAGCAAAAAAAAAGCAGATCACACTATTGCATGTTAGTTTTACACAAGGACCTTCTAAAATGTTTACTATACTTGCGTTTCAACATGACTGCATTTGTAGATATATTTTTTCTTTCAGCTTAACATTAAAGGGTGCCCACACTTTTTGAATGATGAATCTCCACTTCTACGTGACTTTTCCTGTCGTACAGTCATGCTTACTAGGTACTGATTTTTTTTTAATCTAGGTAAAATGTCACAAAGATTGCATTTACAGGGACTACTATGAAACATGAACAAACTTATAATTTAATTCTTACATAAATAGTTTTATTGATCTAAATGCAAGAATTTATGCAAGAATAGTTTAATGCACATCTACTTTGCTCATGTTTCATGAATGAGGCTCACAGAGTGCAATATTCATCATATTAAATCATTAAAAGCTAGGCATAACTAGAAAAATGTGTAGTCACTTCATAAATTTGTATGACCCTGGATTTTATTAAATACAGTTTTAAAATTCCTTGATATTTCTGTGGGAACCCTGAATATTTAAAAGTGAAAGAGAAGGATATTGCATCCAAATAATAACTCGCACACCTCAACTGATGAAAAAAAATGCTTTACATTTGCTGAAAATCTTCTCACCCTAAGGCCATCCAAGATGTAGATGAGTTAGTTTCTTCATCAGAACAGATTTGGAGAAATGTAGCATTGCATAACCAATGGATCCTCTGCAGTGAATGGGTGCCGTCAGAATGAAAGTCCAAACAGCTGATAAAAACATCACAATAATCCACAAGTAATCCACACCACTGCAGGCCATCAATTAACATCTTATGAAGTGAAACGCTGCATATTTGTAAGAAAGAGTCCTTAAAGTGTTTTACCTTTAAAACATTGCTTCTGGTCAAAATACCAGTCCACAGTCTATAATAAGGCTTCCTCCAGTGAAAAAGTCCCTCTCTCATCAAAATCCACCAACATATATTGGTTTCAAACTGTTTTCGCTTGTAAACAGTGTTTGATCTGTGCATATTTCTCTCCTGATTCAAAAATGACAACCTTTTACTGGAGAAAGCAATATTATGGATAGAGGACTCATATTTTAGCCAGAAGCGATGTTTTAAAGTTAAAACATCTTAATGATGGATTTGTTTCTTGGAAACATTCAGCTTTTCTCTTCACAAGACATTAATTGATGGACTGGTTACTTGTGGATTATTGTGATGTTTTATCAGCTGTTTGGACTCTCATTCTGACGGCACCCATTCACTGCAGAGGATCCACTTGTGAGCATTTGATGCAATGCTAAATTTATCCAAATGTGTTCCGATGAACAAACAAACTCATCTACATCTTGGATGGCCTGAGGGTGAGAACATTCTCACCTAATTTTCATTTTCAGGTGAACTATTCCCTTAAAATGTCTGTAGAAGTGTCTAAAGCAAACAGGTAGTACGTACTCTGGAGGTCTCGTATCTGGGCCAAGGTCTCTGCTTAGTGAGATCCGGTCACTGGCGTACAAGTTAAAGCAGTGCTTCTCTTCTCCCCTCTCCTTTTCTTTTTGCTCCGATGAGCTCAGATTGTCAGTGTGAAAAGCCTTCCCAGAAGCCCCTGGGGCAGTGGGGTTTTGCGGTGGTCTTTCAAGGACCGGTCTGAGCTCAGCAGCCGTGTAGTATCCGGCCAGACAGGCCAGACTGCCCTGGCTCTCCTGCTTCCTCACCGGAGCTTTTATCTGCATCTTGGGCATAGCGTCCCGGAAGTTATTCACCGCACCCATGACCATCTCAAGAACGCCGTCCCGTTTCTCCACAATCCCTTTGAGCCAGGGTTCGTCCTGGGGGCTCTGACTGACCACCTCTCGCTGCATCAGAAACAGGAACGTCACGAATACCAACGCCACTATGGCCAGCTTCCATGGGTGCAGTCGTCTGCGCAGAAGCCTGCGGAAGAACGTCATCCTATTGAGGCGAAGCCGGCACTCAGAGTGTGAGAAACAAAGCTACACCTGACACACACCCTGTGCGTAATATCACCGCCTGTCAAACCTGTGAATGGGACAAAAATACGACACTGATATATGAGCAGCAGAGCACCGCGAACAAGTTCAACACTCCTGACGACTCGTTTGAGAACGGAAAAGTTGGGAACTCCAGTTCTGAACGTCCAACATAAATGTTTTCTTTGATATTTAAGCCTCTTTTAGGTGGCTGGGAAATCATTCTTCACTTGAGAGGTAATTTTGTGAACTTAATTTCTTTAACAACATTCTCTTGGAGAGAATTTTAACAGAAACTTTCCAAATGATAATTGGCCCTTTTAACCAATGGAAAAGTATTAATCATATTACAAATATCAGACTTGACAGTTCTGTCTATCTTTTTAAAAATCACATTTTCATGAGGCACAATACTTCTTTGTTTGTACATTTCTTTTAACCCTAGAATGCACACTGTATATTGTGTAGGCCAAAATGAATCCAAAATGATATACAATTAGATGCATATGCTTTCCTAAAAACATTTTTCAGACAGCCAATTGTGTGCTGTTTGACACTTTGTGCAACAATAAGCGACAGAAACACCTGGCTTGGTTTTGTGTCTGCAAAATGAAATTGCAAACTGTTTTCAGTAACAAATCTGGATGTAATTGTATCTAATTTCTGATTCACATTCTTTTGCCATAAACAACATAAAGGGGAAAACTGAACATGTTTTTTGTTCGCTCGTTTTGGTTCTTTCAACCCTAAACTGCATGCAGGTTTCCCCCTTGTAATGTGTAGGCCTAAATAATAATCGAAATTCATAAATGGATGCATATTCTTTAACAAAACATGTTTTTATCAATGAAAAGATATCTTAATGATCACTTAAATGTTGTTCCAGAGGAGCTGTCACTGTATTTTGGAAAAAAAGCAAATGACAGTTTACTATTTACTTTCTTACTAAATATTAATCTATACATGAAAATAATATAACATTCCATAAAATGGAAAATGGGGGGGAAATCCATACACATTTACAATTTAGACACTTTAATTGAGGTATTCCTTTTATGTCAGATAAAAAAGTCAATTTAACGGGACACATATTGCTTTATAGCACTCATTTTGAGTCATTTTAGGGTTAATCATTAGCACAATAACACCATCTGTCCAAAACTATGAATCAGTGTCCAGTTCTCGTGCGCTAGCACGTAAACAAAGCCGAGAGAGCAAAGAAACAGTAAGACATACCCAATGCGTTTAAATATCGATTAAATTCATATCCAACAAAGCTCTGAACTCCCACAGCGACTGTCCCACAGTAGAACTGCTGTCCACGGCGATGTCAGAGTGTAGTCATCTCAGCCGGACTTCCGCGTTGTTGGATCCAGGTGCGCGTCTCTCAGGTAAAGGGGCGGGACTTGCGTAAAGCGTGCGTAAGCGCCACATGTGCCTTCATTCTGTTAGGGTGAGTCCAGCAACGTCAACTTTGAACAATTAAAAAAATGTTGCTCTTCCACTTATAAGCTTGAGTATTTTTAATAAGGGCAAAATTTAAACGAAAGAAAAAACTTGTCTCTTTAATAAAAATTTAAGAAGTTTTATTTTGGGGGGTTTGTCCTTCTAGACTCTGTAGCTTCCTCTCTATAATAAATTTATGTCCGAAATTCTACTTTTTATACTTTTCTAACACGATTGTCACGGTCTGCCGGGATGTTGCTAGTAGACAAGGAGCAGGAACGCGATCTAACAGCGTCGAATCACGAGCAAATTACTCTTCTTTTTTTTTTTTTATAATTTATTTTAGTAATTTTCTGGGCGCAGTCGCCTACGACGTTTAAAATAAAACAAAAACATTCTTATTTGCTTTCAATAAATAATCCAAAATCAACAATAAGTAACAAACTAATAACTCACGTGCTGAGATAGACTGCATACTTTTAAGACCCCTAACCTTTTGTTATGAATTCCTTTTAGGGATATTTAAACCTTAATTAGTGGAGTCAGATCCCCATAATAATTCGCACCCTACATTCCCTCTAAATATTTATGCTACACAAACCTAATCATCCACAAGCGAAGGGTCCCGTTACTGGCATCACCTATTTCCATGACTCTAATAAATACATTTGTGCATGCAGAATCACTTTGCGCGACATCTGACGCGACTACGTTAAACTCACTTAGTATCTCACGTAGACGTATTGCCACAATTAGCCCTATTAAACAGAAGGCAGATGTAGAAAACACTCACCAGACATGCTCAGCCTCAGGATTTTAATCACCGTGTCCTCGTGCACATGGACTTCATAAAGAGCTTCTGTGTTTGCAGGGCAAAGAAAAGAAACCGGACACGAACCGGACAAGAGAAGAATACCAGAGAGGCTCAGGAGTGTTCATCTGTAGGATACTGGAGATTTAACTTCCCGCGGTGTCGCTTCGCGTTGAATCTCTATGTAATAGAGTTTAGTGAGAAAGTCGGACTCTTGCTGGAGGTTGACATTTGAACTGCTTGTGATGAAACTCAGAGTTTATTATTTGACATCAAACTGATGTGGATTTATTGCACAACTGAAGTTCTTTTCCATAACACTAAAATTCAAGCTAAAAGTTTATTCTGTAAATCTCGCAAAACCCACATCTGAGAAACTAGATTTGGACAAATTCCAGGAAATTGATCCCTGGGTATATGCCTTCATATAATTTAAAAAGTATAATATAATATCATATAATATATTTAAATAATAAATGTAATTATAAAGAAAGCAATATTATTTAAAATGTTTATTTATATGTTTATATATACGTGTGTGTGTTTATATAGTCTTTTTAACCTTTGATGGTGTGATGTTGCATCCAATCCACACACACACACACACACACACACACACATATATATATATATATATATATATGGATTGGATG